ACTATGGAAATCAGTATGGAGATAACTCAAAGAGCTGGGACTAGAGATTCCGTTTGACCCAGCCATCCCTCTGCTGGGTATCTTTCCAAAAGAATTAAAAGAATCATATCACAGAGATATATGCACACCTATATGTATAGCGGCATAGTTTGTAATAGCTAAAACTTGGAAACAACCCATTTGCCCATCAGTTGGAGACTGGACAAAGAAGCTGTGGTTTTTCTATCAGACGGAATGCTACTCAGCCATAAAGAATGAAAAATTAGAGTCATTCATAGGAAAATGGATACATACTGAGGATATACTTCTAAGTGAAATAAATAAGTCACACATGTGTAAATACCGAATAGTTTCTCTGGTGTGAAAAACTATAATAGTACATAAGATGCTAATGAGATAATTGACAATGTGAAATAGGAAGAAAAGGGCTAAAGGTGTAGGGGAAGTGGGAAGAGTAAGGGAAAGGAAATAAGGGAAAGAAAAAAATATGAGAAAATGAAAATAAAGTTTTTGTAAATAGGGAAGGGAGGAGGGGGTGAAGGGAGGGCAGGGAAAAGGGGAAAAAATGAGAACCAAGACCTGTCATGTAAAGGTACACGATCCCAATAATGAATGTAACTTTACTATATACCTAAAATGTACCAATATGATTAATCATAAAAAAATAAAGCATGGTCGGATGAGTCATTAGGATTAGAAATGAGAGGCTTGAGAAAGATGTACATATGAGCATTGTTGGCATTAGTACTAAGCAGTACATCCAGAATGGCTATAGAGAAAGTATCAAGATGGCAGAACAGAAACTGCACAGCATTCTCTCCAGGACTTGGAGTTGAGACATCTGGGAAACAAAAGGGGAGCATAAAGAAGTGAGGGAATTGAGAAAGGGAAGAAATGAAAGCTAAAATTCATGGTAAAACAGAAGACAGTGTAGAGAAAAGAATGAAGCAGTCTAGAATGCAGCCCCCAGCTCCTGAAGATGCCGCCATGGGAACAAATGGTGATGGGAATCAAGCTCTCAGAGAGGCTGGACATTGAGAAGATCCTGAAGTTAATATCCACCCAATGAATGCAAGTCTTAATATAGAAACACAAAAGTTACGAAAAAACAAAGGAATGTGGCTCCTCCAAGTGCTCATTATTCATCAGCAACTGAATCCAGTGATATCAAAATGGATGAAATGCCAAAGAATTGAAAAGACTGAGTTTTAACCACTTCAAAGAGGACACATACAAACAGCTGAATGAATTATGGAAGATAATGGAAATAAAAAGGAGTAATTCAATAGTGGTAGAGATTTTGACGAAAAACCAAACCAAAATTCTGAAAATGAAAAGTACAACAAATCAAATGAAAACCTCACAAGATAAAAGTGGAAGACAAAATTTCAATGACTAATGGTTTAATGAAGAAAAAACCTAAGAATTATGAACTAACCATCCAAGAACTGTAAGATATAGTTATATGACCAAATTTATATTTTTCAGTATAGAAGAGGCTTCCAAGAGTCATAGTAATGGCATAGAAAATCTATTTAATGACATATAGCAGAAAAATACAAATAATAAATGTAATACACTACATATGAGATACTTTTGAAATACACAGTGAATGTTTAAATAAAAATATTCATTGCAGTAAAAATCCACTGCCACTAATTTCCCCCAAAACACTCCCCATCCCTTCCGACACACCCCTGCCATCCCTCTTGTCACCTTCTGAAGCAGTTCTGGAGGCCCTCTTTTGTGCGGTACATGAGGTACATGACAAAATGGTGGATGCTGCTGCCAAATGCCAATGAATGGAAAGGCAAGCTCTTGAAAACATTACAGTGTGTCTTCAGTCACGTTATTAACTGTATTCCACACCGTGTGACTTCTTTCCCAAAGTAAGAATTACAAGAAAGAGAAACATTTTGAATTTATTCACGATTTGTTTTCTTATAAAAGTGAAATGAGTATCAGGTTTGATGAGTTCTAAAGCTGACAAGAATTGAGGCATGACTTGTGCTGGAAATTTGGGCGACAGAAATTAAGCAAGAAAGTGGAAGGGAAGTCAAATTATCCCAGTTTGCAGATGATATCATCCTATCCTTACAAAACCTAGAGACTAGACCAAAACATTTTTAGGGCTGATAAACAAATTCAGCAAAGTAGCTGAATATAAAATCAGCATTAAAACATCAATAAAGGATATAAAATCAGCATTAAAACATCAATAACTTTTTATACACCAGTAAGGAGTAGCTAAATCCAGAAGATAGTTGTATTCACAATAACTGCAAAAATATGCCTAGAAATCAACCTAGCCAGGAAAATGAAAGAATTCTACAACGAAAGAGAGTCTAGACTAACCCATAAATAATTAGTCCCCTCTTCCTCCCCAACACCAGGGGCGCTATGCTTGTGGGACATCCTGCGTGCGGCCTTTCCCGTGGCAGATGTCCACAGGGAAGACCCCCAACATCCCCCCAGGGAGCTACTGAGAGCAGGGAGCCCTGGAATGGTATCAAGCTCACAGGTTAGCACGCTCTGGGCAGAGGGGCAGAGAGCGGCCGCCAGTCAGAAGGCATCTAGCAATTCACTACATCAAAGGCTCGTGGGAGGAAAACGCAGGCACCTGTGGCATTTGGGCTGCAGTGAAAGGTGCGGAAGTGAGAGGTCCTGGTGGAAGTCAATAGAGAGTGCGGCGCTGGCCGGATTACACTGCATCATTCACGCCTGAAATTAACCGAGGTAGTTAAATCCTGGAACAGAGGCGCAGGCCGCAGTCAGCCATACCTCAAGTGTCACGTGCAATTAGGGGCCTGTGCCAGATCAGACTCACTGGATTCTCGCTCAGTGGTAGGAGATGAACACGCAGTGGTGGGGTTGGGGCACTCAGAGACCCGCAGTTCAACTCAGACTGCATAGTAAATGGGACTGTGCGGGAACTGGTTTTGTGCTCTTGCAAATGTAAATGGGAGTCTGTGCATGTGTGTGCGTGTGCGTGTAGTTATTTCATTTCCATTTTTAATTATCCATTTCTTAAACTTTGTTTACTGTTTTTCTTTCCTCTGTCCTCTTTATTTTTTCCTTATATTTTCCCTTGCTTTACTTTTCTTCTCTCTTCCTCCTTGCCTTCTCTCCTTGTCTTTCCTCTCCTCCTTTACCTTTCTCCTCGGCGTATATGTAGGTGACGCCTGTACAAAACAGAGTAAGCGTGAACTGGTTCTTTGACCTGAACAGTACTTTTCAAGGGCACATCATTGTAACCCTAACCGAGATTGTGTGCAGAGGATCCAGACACAAGCTACCACGTAACTAGTAGGTTCTGACAGTTTCACAGTTTCCCTTGATCTCTAATTGCACCGATCTCTGCATCCCTTCTTCCACTTCACACTTCTTCGTTCAAACCCCCTCAGCACTAGCTCTGTCCTTCCTGTATAGAAATAATTCCAACACAGGCCGACCTTCTGTTTATTTACCACCTATTTATATTTCTCTTCTATCCTTCTCTTCTTACTGACTTGCCTCCCCCTACTCCCTGCACATCCCAGTCTGTTAACAGTATATTTTAAGGTTCAGTCTGTGAGCAGCATTGACAAAAGAGGAAGTTGTCAAAACAAGTTTCATTGTACACGACTGTTGTATGGTGGTGTCTTAGTCACTTTTATCCTCGCCGAGACAAAATACCTGACATCCACAATTACAGGGGGAAGGATTTACTTCAGTTCCCAGTTTGTAGAAGTTTTAGACCATAGTCAGCTTGTTCCGAGGCAGGTTGGCATAGCAGAGGAGCATTGTAGAGGAGAAACTGTCCATCGCAGGGAAGGCAGGAAGCAGAGAGAAGCAATCAATGGCGGCAGCGGCGGCAAGTAGCCTGTAGGCTGCAGTGTGCAGCTTGCCTTCCATCATTTCCTTTTACCCCATCCAGGCTGCAAGCCTTTTGTTTGGTGCCATTTACACTCACAGCAGGGCTTCTGTCTTCAGGAAACTCACACCCAGAACTGTGCTAATTCCAGCCAGTGGACTAATTCGGCACCACACACCATTAATCTCAGTATTATACACTCTAGATCCAGCCAGCTCTGAAAAGCCCTATTTGTGAATGCATAAGGTTTTGGAGGGACATCTAGATGCAATCCATAACAGGTTGTATCTGCAGACACTGTTATAACATATAGGAATTCTGTCTTTGCAGTACAGTGACTGGATCCAGTATTTTTAAACTGAGTAGGTTAAGGATATAGGTAATTCTAAGAAGCAAAGAAAGCCAAGATCGTATCACTAGGAAAAAGGCACTAGCTAAAGGTAGCATCACACAAGCCACAGACTTTTCCAATTGTAGTTGATTCCTAATCCTCAGC